CGTCTTTCTTATAGTTGAACGCAAGGGGGGAAAGGGGATTTCCAAGATTCCGGATCCCTGAGAGTACAATGGGAATCCTTGAAATCCCGGAAGTACGATGTATCTTATAGGGGTATTCATAAGTTCACATGGGCTCTCTTATGGAAGTACCCATAAGTCCTCATGAGCTATCTTATGGGAGTACTATAAGCAAGGGAAAACAGCAGACTTCCGTACTCCACGAGTCCCTGGAAGTCCCTAGGAGTTCCAAGGACTCCCAAGAAATCTCAAAGAGTTCCAAGGAGTCCCATAAAATACAGGAGCGCAGCTCTTTACACGTTAGTTTCTTTTTATTAGTGTTTAACCTTTGACCTTTAACCTTTGATCTGAACAGTCAGACCAGTATGATGCATGTAGGTGCTACTACTTCGGAATATGCCAAAGTAGCGAGAAGATCCAAAAGAGTTCCAAGGAAATCCCGGGAATTCCCGGCAGTCCCTCGAAATTCGAAGAAATCTCATGAAATCCTGGGAAGCTCAGGAGTCCGCGGAAGTCCCAAGAGGTCCCTGGGAGTTTCAAGGGATCCCTAGGAGTAGGAAATCTGGGAGTCTGCTGTTTTCTCCTTGCGTGTGAGTGGCGTTCTTATCACAGTTTGCGTTCCTACCTAGACGCTCTTGAAAATCTATGACGATTAACGCTAGATATCTCTTTAATAGTTAGCGGTATCCGACATCCCTCCACGAAATAATGCTTGAAGAGTAACTGGAACTACCGCAAGACAGTGCTTGAAAATTTAACAATACCAAACATCAATAGCCCTTGGTGAATTATGAGTATCTTCATAGGATAGGCCATGAAGACTTGTGGTACCCACAAAAGATAGGTCATAAGAACTTATGGGTACCCCATAGGATAGGCCATGGGGGCTTATGGGTGCCCCCAAAGCATAGGTCATGAGGACATGAGTATCCCATTCAAGAAGGAATAGGAATATTTAAAGTGGTTGACAAAGGTACCTGTGATACGGTGTCCTACATAAGAATTGTATCTCACAGATTTCTTGTACTTCGGTGTACTCCCAGAGTCCAGAGAGTACAATGGAAGTATGGAAGTACAATGGTAGTACGGGAGTACGTGTTTTCGTGCTTGCTGGGCTCTCATGTACTCCCATTGTACTCCGGGAGTCCAGGGAGTACAACGGAAGTACGGGAGTACAGCGGAGTATAGAGAGTACTGGAGTGCATGGTTTTCTCCTTGAGAAATAGGAATATTTAAAGTGGTTGACGAAGGCACCTATGATACGGTCTCCTACATAAGAATTGTATCTCACAGACTCCTTGTACTTCGGTGTACTCCCGGAGTCCAGAGAGTACAATGGAACTACGGGAGTACAGCGGAGTACATGGAGTACGAGAGTACGTGATTTCTCCCTTGCTTTCACGTTACAGTGTTAAAGTGTTAAAGTATGTTACTTTAACTTTGGCTTTAACGTTAAAGTTAAAGTTAAACTCCCACCCCTATGTTGGACTCCCTGTACTCCCATGTACTCCCGGAGTCCAGGGAGTACAATGGGAGTACGGGAGTACAATGGGAGTACGGGAGTACGGGAGTACGGGAGTACGTGTTTTCCCCCTTGACTTAAATAGAATAGGGTGCGGGTATGGGTCGTCTTTGTGTTTACAGCCGCATCCACCCACATTCTATATCTACATATATACACACTCGACACCCACACCCCATATTCCAATAACAAAAATGAGTATTAACTAACAGCGATCTTTCGAGCGAATTGACTTATTTAACTAACTCTGAGGGAAGTTAGAAGAAGATTTTTGAAGAAAAATAAGAGCTCTCAGAACATTCTGAAAAATCTATATATCGAGCCAGTTTTCTGTGCGACAGTAGCAAATTCAAAGACAGCAGCCACTTATTAATTGAGAAAAGACTGATTCTGGCAAGAGTTTCAATAAAAGTGAGCTTTTACAGCAATTGAAAAAAATTTCGAAAAACCAAAGCTAGTTATACTTCTGAAGTGCAAACTTAACCCTTCACCCCCCATAGCAGGTCCAGAAGAGCCACTGATGAAATAGCTTTATAAATCGAGTATTAGCCTCTCGAATATGCCAATGGTGTGGCCTAATTCACCAGATGTCATATGCCTGGAGTATGGCAGTTTGATCGCTCTAAAAATCGTGTGGTAGAAAAAGGGCATTAAGGGTATCCCCCTTTCCTCGCCCAAAATTTTTGTTTTATTCATTTTTGGTTTTTTTGTGGTTATTGTATAGTTTCAAGTACTGTCTATCTACTGACTATATTTTGGAACCCAACCATTGCCTTTAAAGATTAACAAATTCGAGGAGAAATTAAATTTACATAGTGACCATAGCTAAGATTTTATATTTTTTTTTGCTTTTTTCTCAAAATTAAATTTTTAGTAGGAAAAGTACTGTTTCGTCTCCATTCCTCCGGCATGGTAAGAGAGATCGAACTGAAACTTTTTTTACGTATTCTACTCACCATTTGGGGTGAGTATTTTTTTTTTTCTTTTCAAGAATTATTGCTCTGGTGATTTTTGGCAGCTTTTAGAAAATTTGCTAGAGGAATAAAAACAAGCGTTTTTTAGGGTAGGCACAGTATATTGACTTTTTTTATTGAAACAACAAAAGATAAAAAGAAACTAAAAAAAAATATGCACCCCAAAAAGTGTCTACTACTCGTAAAAAAATTTTCAGCTCAATCGAACATACCATCTTGGAGAAACGGGGGCGAAAACTAGGGCCATTTTTCGACATTGTGACCCTATTACCTCATAGAAGACAGCATCAGAGAATTTTGAGTCTATGACAACTTTTGCTGTACTCATCAAGATCTATCTGCCTTAAAAATTTCAAATTTTTCTGATGCGTCGTTCTCAAAAAACCCCGGAAGGGGGGAGGGGGAACCTTTAAACGACATCATAAGACTTCATTTTTTATCTTTATCCACATTATTGATAGTGTCCTGCAGCCAGGTTGGGAACTCGGCACCCCAACCGATCTGGTACTGGGGGCCGAGTCGGGTGCCAGGTACGAAAAAAAATTTCGGGTCGGGTGCAAAATTAAACCGTACCTGGTATCCGATCCGGCAGTCAGTGGCATATAAAAATGTAAAACTATTTCACGTTCTAAGAGCGTTATTTGTTAAAAAAACCTACACGTGTCAAAAAACATTCGACCATAATTGGTCGATGAATTATATTCGAAGGCTCAAAATAAGTTAAATAAGAGCCGTATCACTTTAAGCCACGACCTTTTTCTATAGAGGCTGCTCAATCGATTTTTTCGAATTTCAATTTCACATACATAGTTCAAAAGGGTACCACTTAGTGAGTTTTTTGCCACTAAGCGCATTTCAATAGCTCAAATCCTCACTCAGAAATTCAATTTTTAATTTTAGGCCATTTCCTTCATCTGATGATTTTGATCTACCCCATGTCTACTGAGAAGTGTGTCATTTTTCATTGAGATGACATAGAATGATAAAAATTTCAGGATAGATACAAATTGAGTTGCTCTACAAAATATAGCACACCCGAACTCTAGATGCTGCTTTATCGCCGAGTTATAGATGTCGCTAGTAGCTGAAATTCAACAATCGATATATATCTATTGCGTGTGGGCACCGTTTAAGGGAAACAACCGTCTAAGGGAAAATATGGACACCATTATAGAGGCACACATGATAAATCTGATTGGTGACATGAATTGGAACACATCTGGTTGTATTAAATTACTCTTAAAAATATGTCAATAATTGAAAAAAAAATTAAACTAGTACAGAATTTTTTATAAATTTAACTAGACGTAGCTTGGCATCGAGACATTCTATTTTGCAAAGAATTCGAGTTATCCTATGAGACAAGTCGACTTATCCTACAGGATTAGTCACTATTCTTAATTGAAACATTAATACTTGTTCACTTAGTATCTTGACTTATCGTATAGGGTAAGTCGACTTGTCTCATAGGATAATTCGAAATACTGGAAAAAAAGTAGAAAAGTAGTTCAGTCACAAGAGTCGAGTTATCTCATAGGACAAGTCGACTTATCCTATAGGGTAAGTCGCTTCTTTTAACTGAAATATTTTGACTCGCTCAACTAGTATTTCGACTTATTCTATGAGATAACTCGACTTGTCCTATGAGACAAGTAGCTTCATATGTTTGAGGAAGTTGTAAGATACTGTACCACCAAAGTGTGGATAATTTTAAGGCAAGTGAGTTCAATGTTTACAGTATCTTAACTGACTGTTTTATTTCTTGTTATAAGTAAACAAAAAAAGAAGCAACAATATATCATATATCGAATGGAAAGACAAAAGGAATGACAATAGAGGTCAGGTCTTGACAGAAGTTATTCTTAATATTTCGAGTTATCTCATGAGACGAGTCGACTTATCTCATAGGATAACTTGAATTCGCCACAAAACAAATATCTCAATCAAAATACAGAAGTAAATCGGTAGAACAAGTTGAACATTTAAATGTAATCTCAAAAATCTCAAAAATGAATATATTATGATAAAAACAGAAGTAATAATACATAATTCTATTTTTCAAAAGTCCATATATTATATTTATGGCTAGCTTTTTGTGCTAAACCAGTCGCCATTAAATGATTCCATGTGCCTCTACAATTGTGTCCATATTTTCCTTTAAACGGTTGTTTCCCTTAAACGGTGCCCACAATTGCGTAACCAGCTCAGTAAGGCTGAAACTTTGAAAAATAGATACTAGGTCGATGAGGCCATATAATCATCAAAAGAAAAGTTTGAGCAATGAAACATAAACCGAAATATCGATTTTCTACGAAAATTCACTG